TTAACACTCACAGATGTTCCCAATATCAAACTGGGGCAGGAAAATTTCTTTTGTTTTGTCTGTTTTGTTGTAATCAGGCGCCCACTTGGAGAACAAGGGAAGACAACTCAAGTTTCAAGGGAAAGCAGTTTCGAAGGAAGACAACTCAAGTTTCAAGGGAAAGCAGTTTCGAAGGAAGACAGTTCAAGTTTCAAGGGAAAATGGTCCAAAGTGCAAGGGAAAACAGTTTCAAGTAACAAGAGAAGACGGTTCAAGTTCAGCAATCAGGCGCCCACCTGGAAAAAAAGGGAATTCAATTCAAAATGTAATTCAGGTCAGCAACAAAAGAAGCTCGCGTCAAGAATGCGAGTCAGCAGTCCAAGATGATCAACAGAAGTTAGTCACAATCCAGAATAAAAAGAAAAAACAAAAAGAAAGACAAGAAGTGAATCCAAATGCAGAAGTTAATGAAAGATGTGAGCTGCTCAAGATAGGGCTGAGATCACAAGCTCTGCATGTCCCGTCTTGGTTTGAAAAGCTGAAGAAGATTGAACCAACACCTGCGGCTAACAAGCATCAAGATTCAGATCAAGGTCCGCACGAAGAACCAAGCAAGACTCAAGATCAAGCTTCAGAAGACTCATAGATAGGAATCTTGTAACTCGTAGCTGATAGGCTTAGTTAGTCTTTTTTATTTTTGATTTTGATGTAATAACGGGAACGCGGACCAGATCCTCAGCGGAACGGCACCTCAGGGTAAGGGCTTGAAATTATTCCAAGGGGAAGGTGTTAGGCACCCCTCAGAATCCACTAGTGTGGTTCCTGTAGACATGTGATTTTTGACCCTCCCCAAGATTTTTTATATTTTAGCACGTAAATATTTAATTTAGGCTTAATATAGCTATTTCAACTAATTTTTACTCTTTTACTTTATTTTATTATAAGAAAAATGAAAAATACCCAAAAAAATAGTTTATTTTAGCGGTCAGTTTTATTTTAATAGTTATTTTATTTAAGTGGGACTAATTAATAAATGAGATCGTATTTTAGTCTCGTTCGCGGAGAAAGAATAAAACTTGGGCTCGAGCAACGCATTTTTAAGCCTAATTTTGGACCTAGACCATAATTTCCAAGCCCATAATTCCTAATCTCATATCCCTAACCTAATCCATACCCTTATATAATAGTACCTAATCCTTAAATTGACATACACCTCTGAGACCTAGAAAAAAAATCCATCAGATCCTTCACCTACATAGAAGCGGCGCAAACACGGGAGCTTCTTTCTTCTTCTACAATTTCTCTCCAAAACATACAAAGGGAAATAATCCCTCCTCCATGAAATTTCATGAGGTCATCTGTTGGACATAAGCTTGCACTCAAAACTAGCAATAAAAATTGACACCCTAAGCTAGACCCAAGACTCAAAAATTGGCAGACCCTTCATGCTCCCCTTTCCGATTCATCTTCTTCATGCTCTCAATTGAAGAAAAAAGCAAATACGCCTAATCCCATCATCTCTCTCAACTTGAAAAGCAAACATTCGCCGCCGCTGCCACCTCCGACAAGCTAACCGGTGAGCCATCGAGTTCCCCTGCTTTCTCTCCTTCCCTTATTCCTTCACTATCACTCACACATCATAAAGAGCTCACCGGATCCGCTCCAGATTTGGACAAAAACTCGCCATTGTTGCCTCGCCTCATCACTCTCTAGATCTGGCCGGTTTCACCTTACTGGTTCCCATCAAAGTCCGTGGCCGACTGAAATTCCGGCACACTCCCTGCTTTCCGGCGACCTTTCCTTGCTTTGTGTTTTCTAACCCTGAAGTGCTGGTTTGGGGTTCTGCTCGCTGTTTTTTTTTTTGCTCGTTTCCGGATTATGTTGATGAAAGTTCACTTTGGCTATCAAAACGATATTGTGTTGTACAAATTCGCCTTTTGAGTATTGAAGAAAGTTGATTGATTTGAGGTTCGTTCTTTTTTTTTTCCTTTCAATTTTTATTAACTTGCATGCCTATAAGTTATTGCTAGATATTTGCTGAGTTGCTAATTTTATAGTTTCTATATGTTTAAGCTTTCAAATGCACTCATGATTAGTTATGCAAAGTTTATGGAATCTTGTTTGGCTATGCTTATTAGGACTTTAGATCTTTTTGTATGTTTCAAGTTTTTTGTTGACCACATTTCACTTTTTATTTAGAATTTAGGAATTTATTTCATATTAATGGGCTAGTATTTGATCTTGAAAATAGTTGAGTTTTCTGTATTCATTTAAACATATACAACATGAGTTAAATTAATTGGGCCAATGAAAACATCGGCACCCAGATGGATACTAGCCCATATCTCCTTCATAATAAATAATTGCAAATATTATTTTTAACTAAAAAAAAAGCAATTCATTGTAGATAATCCTAGTAATTAAACTTCACACTTCTACACAAATCCATTCCATAACTCTTGGCCTTTACAATAATCTCAAAATTAGTTTAGGAGAATAATTTGAATGCGTAGTTGCTTTAGGCGCGTAATTTAAATTAATTTCCTTAAACTCGGGTGTGCATTTATGTGACCCAAATCCAAATCTCAACAACGTTTATTAAAATATGTCAAAAATCACGGGTGCATTTATGTGACGTGGTTCGAGACGTGTTTTAATAATGTTGCAATTTTCTTTAAAAATGAATAAAAGCGGTTAAAACTAAAATTTGCACATAGGTTCATAATTGTTTAAAATCAGATACTTAAGCCGAATATAACAGTTGAGCGACCGTGCTAGAACCACGGAACTTGGGAATGCCTAACACCTTCTCTCGGGTTAACAGAATTCCTTACTCGGATTTCTGGTTCGCGAACTGTTAAACAGAGTCAAGCTTTTCCTTGATTCGTGATTTAACCGATGACTTGGGACACCATACATCTCCCAAGTGGATACTATGAATTTAATAAATAAATAATCTCGTTTCGATTATCACTTTAAGTTGGAAAAAACTCCCTTATACCCCCTCGGGTGGTAAAAAGGAGGTGTGACAGTTTCCGGCCAGACAATTATTGTGAATTTGGTGCAATTAACATGTAGACAAATAAGGCTCAAATAAGAGGGGATTTCATATAATGATTTGCAAATAAACAAAGTTTGAAAGAGCAAAGAAAAGCTGATTTTTTTTAAAAAAAAGAGTTGGAATGATAAAAGAAATAGAGAAATAAGGGAAATGGGGTCCTAGGTTTATTAACAATATGGATCACCCCACACAATGCCCGGTAATAACTCCTCGATGAGAGGCTACACGTGACATTATTGCGTGGTCATCATATCCATATCTACCCTTCCCACCCTGTTAAGGTATTAAAGCGCGGATTGGTCTCGTTTACTTATTGCATGCTATTACCCGTCTCAATCCTATCAGTCCCGGAGGTATTTAGGACTAATAATCCCAAAAGGGGGGGATATTAGGCTTATTTGTAGTTTTAAAGGAAAAAACTCTAAGGCGACATACAAAACATGTATTGCAAATTGGGGAAAGCATATAACAAGCAGAGGCTCAGATATACCTCCTTGAACAAAGAAGTACGTAATTAGCACGACTTACACATATTGTTTAGGTCTGATTTAAAAGGTATTAAAGACGAGTAAGAGGAAATTGTTGAGACAGTTTCAGCTTATCACATAACTCAGATAAGATGTCCGAATCAGGCCTGCCTGCTGGTTGTAATTATTAACAGAAGTAGATTTAGCTTTTATTACCCTAAGGCTTGCCTAAATGTTTGAACAGGGGTCCTATAGGCATGGTATCTACTGGATTCGGAAAGCAATGAAACAATAAGGCTCGAAATGAACTGTTTGAATGCATACTCGTTAAACTTGCTAAGTGATAGAATCAAATTATTAAAAGAGAGGCAGGATTTAAACGAATTGATTAAAAGTCATGCGGCTGATAGTAGCCATTATTACCGGTTTTATGTCTAACACTGAGTGAAGCGAATCAGATTTTATTAGAAAATCCTATAGGCATGCTTTCTATACGTTGCTGATTTTAAATCTTATAGACGTGGTATCTAAATGCGGACCTTATTTTAAACCTTATGCTGAATTGAACGTTTCTATAGGTATAATTTCTATATGAAGTTAAATATACAGAATCCTATAGACATGATTTCTATATGAAGTTAAATATGAAGAATCCTATAGACATGATTTCTATATGAAGTTAAATATGCAGAATTATATAGACATGATTTCTAAGTGAAGTTAAATATGCAGAATCCTATAGACATGATTTCTAAGTGAAGTTTGAATATGTAGAATCCTATAGACATGATTTTTAGATGTAATTGAATATGCAAAATCATATAGACATGGTTTCTATATGAGGTTGAGTATGCAGGAATATAGTAGTCCTATAGTCATGATTTCTACCCTTTGCATACATAGTTACCCACCCTTTTTCACTAACCAGCCCAAATGTTTGTTACAAATTATTACAAACCAAAATAAATAAAATTACATCCAAATATAAATAAAAGTACAACCAGAGGAAGCCTGATTCTGACTTTCTCTCTGAGTTACAAGATAAACCCAACTCAAAGACCATTAACCCAAAGCCTTTCTCCAATTTGAGTGTGTCAGAGTTCCCTAAGAGCCTCAATGGGACTCCGGGCAGTGCTTACACCCAAATTATATTATCAGAATGGGGATAAGTACAATGTGGAAGGGCCAGCCCTCAAGTGTCCAAGTTCAGAGGGAGCTCAAAGGGTCCCAAGGCAAGGCTCACAAGAGAGGGGCAGAACTTAAAGTCTAAGAAGAGTGTGCAAGTGAAGAGCAGTGTTCTGGGGAATAAAGGAGAGGGAAACAGCTACAAACAGGTACACAAAAGGGGTTCAGGGGAATAGGGAAGTTGCAAAGAGTCCTTGTATTAAGACACTTAGCTAATTCTGGGCATGCACAGCAATAGAGAGTGCTTTTGTGCTTATAAATCAACAAGAATACACAACATAAGATAGTGACATGGAGGTTATAATTCCAAGGGAATCAAGTTTGAGCCATAGACAATAATACTTGATACTGTCATGCCTCAAACAAACCATTAGCATCAAACACATTAGGGTAGGGGATTTGGGATTCATAATAGGAAGGAAACTACAACATGCTAAAGTAAATTCTGAACTAAACACAAGCAATAGGTCGACATGCAAGTGAAGGTATTAAATAAACACATTGTTGTAGTTGCTGAAAACCTTAATCAGGACATACTAGTTTCAAAGAAGAAAAACACAGTAGTAGCAGCACTTGAAAGAAAACAGGCCACAGTACAAGTAACAAGAGAAAGTGCTTTTTGAATATGAGTGTGAGTTCAGAAAACTAAAAATGTTCGTGTGTGTTTGTGTCAATGAAAGAGCATGGTATTTATTGTTTGAAAACAGGCAAAGAATAAGGCAAGAAAATAATCTTGTACCAATTTAAATCATTCAGTAGAAGAACTTCCTTTAATTAAGTAGTTCGAACTTAAACGGTAATGAACAGAAATCATTTAAGGAAAGAGATCAAATAAGCATATTGTGCAAAGTAGACAATTAAGGGTAAATACATATGAGTTTAATTAAGGGAAGGATCTTTGAAATACACGGTTAAACAAATAAGGTAAGAATCAATCAGTACATAGTAAATCAAGGAGTCAGATATTCGAAATTACTGGTTCATGAATAAACCAAGTCAGAAAGGCTAAGAAAAGTTTTCAAATCAAACCAAGAGACACGGAAATTAGTAAAACAAGGAAAGCATCAATCAGGCTTACACAAGGAAGTCTGAAATCAGTCAAAAATTGAAAGTCATTTTAGAGGGGAAGCTCAGCATATATAAAGAGCACACAAGTATTAGGCATGCGAGGCTGAATTTAGGAAAAAGAAAAGTGTCAAGCAATTGCAAAATCAGTAAGTAGTGGACTATAGGAACATAGTAGTCACATAGGTCAGTTTCTGTAACTCAACAATGGAGAAGGGAGAAAGTATTAAATAGCATGCAAAGGGTCCAGTAGAAAGACCTTAGAAGAGTTTAGCAGGGATTCAGAACCATATAAAGAAACAAAAGATTTTGAAATTCAGTCGAGCAACAGATGAAACAACTTCAGAAACTCAAATAGGTCCAAAGGAATTAGGGTTTCGAAACCAAACAAGTTCAGAGATGAAGGACAAGCAAATCACATAGAGAATAGCCTCAAAACTCGAGTGAACCCCCCAAATTTAGGGTTTTCACCATCAATCGAGTATAGAGATGAAAGACAAAAGAATCAGGAAAAAATATCAACGAAGAAAATAAAATCAGAAACCTTAAGAAAGGGCCAAGACTTTTAACATAAAGAAACACAATAGAAGAACAACATAAGAGACATAGTAGAAGAATCCACATAAGAAACACAGTAGAAGAACGACATGTTTAAAAAAATCAGAAAAGCTTCAAAATAACTTAACAAAACCCTAAATCGGAAAAGATAAAGGTTTTGAGGGTAAGGTTTTGAAAGAAACTTTAAGAAAACTTTCAAAAGGTTTGGAGAGAACACAGATCGACAATGGATCTAAAAGAATCAGAAGAACCTTGAAGGTTAGGGTTTCAGAAGAAACCTAAAGGGTGAGAAAGGCTTGGAAATCATCGATCTAAGCAGGAGAGGTCGAGATCAGGATTGAATAGCCATAGCCGGCCGGAGCAAGGTCGAGGGTGGCCGGAGACAGCCATAGCACTGAAAACATCCGAGGTCTGGACCAAATTTCTTCAAGGTCTGACCTTGAGGTCATGATAATCGAGCATGCAGGAGTTGTAGGAGGTAGATACAGGCCATCAATGGCTTTGGAAGCCCTGGATGTGGTCGATTTTAGGTGGTGATTGAAGGTGGCGGCTAGGGTTTCTGAAAGAGATTGAGAGAGAATTGGGAGATGGGGAATTCAAGGGCGGCTTCAGACGAGAATTGATTAGGGTTA